CATGAAAAAAAAAGTATTTTGATGTCAACGTACAAAATGAAAGTGGACATGTTCTGTGACAACGAGGAAGTGAATTGCTCAGCCACACCAAGAAGCAACAAAAGAGTGTCAGAAAGACGGAGGAAAGAAGTCCATATCACCGCACACCAGTTTAGCTCTATGCCATGCCGGTCAACCACTGACCCCATTTAAAGACCAGTCCTCGAAACATACAAACAAAACAGCAAAGACATTCCCATGGAGTTCTTAGATTTGAAGAAAACTACTGACTGAATATCGAGACAGGCAATTTCATGGAGCATGAGAATACATAGACGAAGTGACTACGATATTTCGAAGTACATTCGGCGAAACGGAAGAATTCCGTGCGGGTGTAGGTCCTCGAAGGTCTAACATTGAGTTTACTTGTGATCATGATAATTAAAGATCTGAACGGAACGGCAGCCCCGATCTATGCAAAATACGTGCTGAGGAGTGAAAGAACAGAAGCGATAGAAGCAAGAACTGAGACATGAAGAACAATTCCTTGGAAGAACGACCTCAGCTCAGCAAAGAAAAGTCAGAATATATAACGGGCTACTACCTTTGAGGGAACGGAGTGAAAGCAAACAAATCAGTGAAAGTAGTGGGAAGCAGGCTGCCTCAAACCCAAGAATTCGAGTATCCATTCTGCAATACAACGGGAAAATTGAAAATGCATTAAGAAATTGGTCTAAAAAAGTGTGACGAAAATGGAGAGGTGAGTGGAGTAGTGTGCAATAAGAAGGTGCCCATCAGATTTACAGGGAAGGTGTAGAGAACGACGAAGACCAGACTGCTGTACGGAAAAACATGTTTGGCTACAGTGAAGAAACACGAGCAACAGCTTAACGCGATAGAAACGTTAATGCTCAGACAGATGTTTGGTTCAGCAAACCGGACCACATCCGGAACGCCCTCATAATAAATAATTTAGGCGTAGCACCAATTTTGGAAAAATTTATCGACAGCAGACTCCGCTGATACAGCCATATGAAAAGAAGACTCAGGGAATACGCTGGAAATGTGATCCAAGCACTAATACTGCCAGGGGGAGACCAAAAAATGGAGTCATGCCGCAAAGAAGTTGAATTTTTACCGCTTGAACGCCATCAACGAGGGGCAACATTTTCAGCATAATAGAGAGACGCATAGGTAAGCACCTGAATAATTCTGTTTGCCCTGAAGGATGATGCAGATTCGTGTTCATATTGCTTAAGCGTAGCTATAAACTGACATGCAGCGCACAAGCAAATTCGTTTAACTCCACCGTTAAAACCTGTTGATTTTCCCACTGATGGTGTACCTCAAGACCAAGTTCTCATACGGAAATATAAATTATAAATTTTTGGCAATATTTAAACTGGCGTTTTAACCTTTTACGATTCTTATGTTGTTGAAGACGTTCAAATCCGCGTTTCTGACCAATGGTATCCGAACTACTCTGCATCGGAGAGCGAAAATAAATGTTTGTATGTCGGTTGTTGCGCAAACTGTACTCCTTTCTGACGGGTTCATCTTCTTCATCGCTTGACTCTTGAAAAAAAAATGCAAGATAACGAGATGAAGTGCAAAAAGCAACATTTTTACAGCTCACCTGACTCGTGTTTGACTATTTCAGTTATCGGTTTCGAAGGGGAATCAGTGTCCAAGTCATCTGAAGAGTCAGCAAAGCAGTTTCTCGATTGCAGATCAGTGCCCTTCCGACGGCTTAAGCGTGACCGTATGTCCCATACCTCCTAAAGCGTAAACAAATGTAACGTGAACGAACAGCGTAAAATTACAGAGTAATACAGTAGAAAATAGCCCAATGACATTTTTACGCCATTTGTCATCAAGTGCCGACAAAGAGAGTGGAACATCTGATCTAGCCAAGTATAGGATGAGTAACCACTTGAATCATATAACGACTTCGCCATTTCATTTTGATCAAATTTAAAGGAAATTCTGAAGATAAGCATAAGTAATTTCTAAGGCTCATGCAGACGTCATGCCGTAGATGACTTGAAGGTGAGAGGTCTTCCGATTCCATGGTCCGCGGCATGAGAAAACACGAAAAATTTTTATTTACAACGACTGTAACGTTTCAACCGAAATAGCATCGGTGATCAACAGGGAATAATCATCTTTTCTTGTTTTCTCGTGCTGTCACCATGGAATCAGAAGGCATAAGAATAAGTTTTTCATGAATTTTACGCGGATAGCAGCAAAACAAACACGTAGAGAAAGAGTCAGAAAAGTCTGGAGATCTTTCGCCTGCTTAAGGGCATAAGAACGGAAAAGAAAGAAAATATAACTTAAGATTGGTTTTTCGACGAAGATTCCGACAATGAGATGACTATGATAAAGATGATGGCGAAGACAATGATGACGCAAAGAAAGGAAATGAATAGATTGAAGAAGATGACCTTTAAACTAAAGAAAGGGTTCCTTGCTTTTTTGGGCTGCCAACCATGGAATCAAAGGACTTATTTGTTTCAAGTCGTTAAACGCGTGGTATTGATATGAGCCTTAGCAAAAATTTAGAACACTCTGCTTCATTGTGTGTTCAGCATGAAGCCAAGTTAACGTATAATGATCACCACAAAAATCATTTGTCTTTCAGCAGAGATGAAAATAAAATGAAAGTCGGCTTGAATAAAGAATAAATCACAATGAGAATAAACAAAAACAATATATAAAACTATGAAAAAATTGTCATTCATTGAATCAGAAAAACGTTTTCGTTGTTCGAAACAGTCGACATCTTATGAAATCGAAAATATCACGCATTGAATATGAGCCACATCGCGTTAACGCACATAAATACGGAAGGTTCAAAGTAATACTGAAACTCACGCCAGTACAATGCGGTGAAAGAACAAACAGCATTTCGTTGCAAAAAGTAGCTTTTGCCTCCATGTTTATATTAAACAA